CCCGGACTAGCCGGAGAGCAAGCCCGACGAGCGGGTGCGGCATAATGCAAATAACGAACACAACACGGACATTGCTAGCAAGGATGACAAAAAGGACTACCCCCACCATTTACACTGTGCCAAGGACACACACAACAGAGAATAAGCACTTCACGGACAGACAAAAGGACAAATGGTGAGGGGACAAACGGACGTACAAGCAGACGAACAAATCACGAAATTAAATATGCTGAACCACAGATACACACATCGGCAAGCAGCCGAACACCCGGCAAGCAGCCGCACGGGGAGGGGACAATAGCCCGAGATCGAGCAAAGAGCCAGAGGGGGGGGGGGCAGGCAGGCAGCCCATGGGACCGGCAAAAAAAAACAGCCGGAGGTAGACCGGCCAGCAGCCAGCAAGCACAGGCAAGCAGCCTGAAAACAAAAACCCGGCAAGCAGCCGGCGCCACCGCAGGCAAGGGGGAAACACTATCTTGGGCAATCGAGTTCACAGTGTGAGAAGCAGTATTATAAAATAACATGTATATAACGCGTGTTCTGATTGGGCGAAACCCGTGTTTGGATCAGGCCATCCAAACACGGAGACTATCGTGTTGTTGTTATTTTATAAAACAATTACTTTATGGTTTCCGTATTTGGATGGCCTGATCCAAACACTTGGGAATGTTGCTCGAGTTAAGAAAAGCGAGCAAAATCACTCGCCTTCGGCTCGTGTTTTCGCTCGCTTTTCTTAACTCTCGCAACATTCCCGCGTGTTTGGATCAGGCCATCCAAACACGGAAACCATAAAGTAATTGTATAATGCAAGTGAGCACAGCCCGTGAGCACAGCAAATGGCAAACCCCCGCCCGCTGACAACAGACTGCTTCTGATTGGTCAATGAAATTGAACCCTGCATAAATGCATAATTTACATATTATAACGACCCACATCACAACTCGTGCTAGAAGTTAACTATTTTTATTGCATAAACACATTTAACCGTAATCTATTGTAGTAATTTGACAGCCGTATAATTTCTCGAATTAATGAATGCGTGAAAACACAAGGTCTTCTGCACACTGAATTTAGGATAACTTCTATTTGTATGAACAAATACACAACTAAAAAAATGTTTAAGTACTATTTAAAACACGCGTGGGAGTGTTTTATCAGATATAAAACGCGAGGCGCAGCCGAGCGTTTTATATCTGATAAAACACGACTACAAGTGCTTTAAATGGCTTAAAAAACGACTCATGAGTTCATTGGCGAAGTAATTTTGTCTAAACCGAGAAAATCAAAGCTAAAGTTTATGTAAATTAACATGATTTTTTATCACATATAAAGATACGATACGCTTATGATTTTTCTTTGTGTTTCCTCCTGAATTATTAATGAGTTTTTATTTTTTGAGTTTTTATTTTTATGAAGCATTATTCAAGTTTGCATAAGATATAGAATGGGCCAGTTTACTGTAGTATTCTGTGTTACTGCAGAGCAACGAATATTTAAAAGTTATGGCTAATTTGAATTTGAAAGGGTGTACATTTTGATTTTTTTTATACACCCTGTATAATAATATTTACAGACCTTTTGAAAGATTTACTGTACCTTTGATATGTGGTCAACATGCAAGCCATTGTATGCATAGGTTGGTCCATTTAAAAACAATACGTTGTTGCGTCCAATGTGGGGAGTTGGCGCGAACATCAATGAAGGAATCGTGTACGGAATAAGATCACTAACGTTTCTGATACCAAGAAAAATGCAAAATACAGGCTTTAGCTATATTCAATAATTTATAATTCCAAATTTTTAGATTAGGTTTTTCAAAATCTTAAAAAGACGTCGTTTTGGTGCTTCGAATCATAAAGCACAAGGGGTAGATATTCTTCACATTCACTAAAAATTAATTTCTGAAGATAAAAATTAGGGATACAAGTGAGCATATACAGGTGAGGATGTATAAAAAAAATGTGATCGAACTTCAGCGCGCTATTGTACGTGAATTAGTACGCGACCTAAGAACAAATTTTTTCATATTCGGAAAATCAGGCTTTTAGCTATTGAATGACATGTTTTTCATGCCTTGTGGAGAGAAAATAAGCAAGTACGAGTCCGATAAAAAATGTTAGTCAGAATCGCATATTTTCACCTCTGTGCTGGTCTGGGGATTGGTTATTAGAGAGGGGGCTCATTAACTTAGCCGTTATATAAGCGTAATGGAAAGCTAAAACATATACTTATTTAAATATATTTCAAGATCGAAAAATTATAAATCAAATACGTGGCTGACTCAAGCCTATAATAAGGGTACGTTTATACACGATGCAGTTTAATAATATCTGAAAAATATATGACAACACCAACTGAAAATATTAATTAATCATTAACATTTACCAAAACCTAAAATTGGCCAAATCACAGCGTGTAATTAATGTACCTTAATGCAACAAGGTAAAACAATGTATTACCCAAACTGGTAAGCATCGATATAGTAGCGCCCACACTGCATATCAGATGGTAAGAAAGTTAGAGTTGATGATCCAGTTAAACCTGATAATGTACCATTACATATCTGTCTGAGTAGCATCACGGTTCGCATTTCATTGGCTGGAATACCACGGATCAAAGATTTTCTACAGATGTTTGTCACTCGAACTGGCACGCCCAAAATACTACTTAATGATGAAAGATGACAGATGAAGGACTCACACTACAAGTAAAAAGTTAATTTTGAAAAAGAAAATTTTGAAAATCACCCTTTTAAGGCCAGCTAAAATTTACATACACTGTAAAATATTTTGTCTTGTAGTGTATCATCCTGTGGTTTTAATGTTTTATGGTAATTTTTGACATGTATTAATTAATAAACCCAAAAATAAGCCATGATTGTAAAAAGAATAAAATGTGCAAAGCATTCAATTTGAAAAAATGATCTTCCTTTTATGTGTTTTTTTATTAAAATTGTGACAAATTTGCCATATACATGTAAGTTGAAAGTTATATTGTGCAACCCAACACACATTTCTCAATGAATTTAGGTATCTCTCAAAGATGCATGGTCCTAAAGGACTGGAGATTGTCCTACATAAACTATTAGATGGTTTAATTTAGTTCAGAGAATACACATAAAATTAGAAGACATTAAATTAACCTGTTTTATATTTCTCGCATCAATATTCACAATCCTGTCATCAAGCAGTCTCCAAACTGGACGTATTGATTCTTTCTTGGCAGATCCTCGTAATACAAAATATGAACCAACTTTGTGGTCATAAACCTTCCTGCTCTCAACATGTCCAAGTATTTGATATGCCTCAGTTATTTCTAAAGAAAATAACTAGTCCTTATAAATTGGTTTTCTTTTAATTGCATGTGTACAAGCAAGCTGGCAAGGGGGGTGGGATAGGGGGACAGAGGCTGTGTGCAGCCAGGGTGCATTACAGACCTGCCAACCTTAGCAACTGATATACAAGGGTGGGTTGACTACAAAATTTTTGTAGTTCGCTATAACTACAGCTACTTCAAAAATATGTAGTCAGCTACAACTACTGCTACTTTTGAACAAACTAAGGTAGTTCGCTACTGACTACAGCTACTGCTTAAAAAATGTAGCGAACTATTTCGCTATTTCAATACACTATATTTTTTAGTTTTACTATATTTGGAGCATCTACTCACTCAGGCTGTAATGTAATCTATACAGTGTAACAAATCGACTTACTAGTAGCAACAGCCATTAGTAAACACAAAGCAACATTTTTGTAAGCACTACAGTGTTCAGGAGTGCAAATTGACTATTGAGTATTGATTTTAAGCAAACTGTGTTTCAATATCATGGAGCTATTCTATCAGGTTGCTAACAATTTTAAAAAGTAGCGAATAGCGATTCGCTGTTTGAAAAGTAGTCAACTACTTGGCTACTTTTAGGCAAAATGTAGTTCGCTATAACTACAACTACTGTTTTAAAAAAGTAGTCAAAAACTACTGGCTACTTGAAAATTGTAGCGAACTACAACTACTTCGCTACAACCCACCCTTGCTGATATATTTAAAGAATTCTTATTTAAACACTTAATTTGGCAGAAGAATTGGCTGTTTAGAAGGAGAAAACCCATCAAAGCCCTTTTCATTAGAGCAATCAGATTAGTGGCTTGTTCAAACACCTAGCTATACACTTCCAGCACAAGAAGCCCCTGGACTAATGTTAAATTGGGAACAATCTTGGACTGAAAATACGACATGAAGATTAAATATCCGGCGTGAGTTTGGCAAATTACAATACTACCTACAGTTAAATATTGGAGTATCTTCGGCGTAGAGTTTACATGGAATGCATGCACGGCCAAGGCCGGCGAGAGCCAACCACGGGCCCCGGGACAAAATGACGATTGGTGAACATGGGCCCCCTGTCCCTCTCGACTCTCCAGCTGGCTATTTTTAATCACAATCAACAAGAGAATTGCCAGCGAATTACTTGCAAGAAATCGCCGCATGACTGATAAAAACGCAATGTGAACGATGTTCAGCTAACTGTTTTTGCTGAGAAAACGATCAAAAAATTGTTTATTTCACACTTGGTACCTTTTACGATTGATGATGACGATCAGCGGATAGTGTGCAAGTAGGTGTATTTCATTTAGGACAAACATAAAGCGATGATAAACAATATGAACATTTTACCGACATTTCCGGGCCCCAGCCTCTGAGCACTCTGGGCCCCGGGTATTTTGCTCCCCCCCCCCTCCCCGGCAGCCTTGTGTGCACCCTGGGTGTGCAGGGGGTCCAACACCCTCTAGCAGTACAATAACACCATAGTAGACCCCCTCACCCCCGTGGGTACATAGTGTACAGTAGCCAGAGATGTAAATATTGTAATAATTTTATTATAGTAGTTTAAAATTGATAATTTGTTAAATTACCTCTAAAAATGTCCTCAGCCTGTGTATCGTTATTGGTATCGGGGTGATATCTCAATGCCAATTCATAATAAGCATTCTTGATTTCGCTTTGAGTTGCAGTGGGTAACACTCCTAAACTTTCATAAAATGTCAGTGGCTTTTTCCTCTTTTCTTGTGCTTGAGCAGCAAATGTGCGAAAATAGAAGCCATTAATATTTTTCTGACACACATTCAGGAGAGAACTATATTTACAAGATTGACTTGCGAATAAAGAGTATGATAAACATCTTCGAAAACTCATGGCAATTTCACGGTTTTCACCTAAATTATATTCGGTGGCCTTATGGGTAATAAATCCATGTCCTATATACGCGAATATGAGACACACTCGCTCTATATTCACATGTACACCGTTATCCACTGTTATCTAGTGTCATCTACCGTTATCCACTGTTATCTAGTGTCATCTACCGTTATCCACTGTTATCTAGTGTCATCTACCGTTATCTACCGTCATCTAGTGTCATCTACTGTCATCTACCGTCATCTAGTGTCATCTAGTGTCATCTACCGTCATCTAGTGTCATCTATCGTCATCTAGTGTAATCCACCGTCATCTAGTGTCATCTAGTGTCATCTACCGTCATCTACAGTCATCTACGGTCATCTACTGTCATCTACCGTCATCTACCGTCATCTAGTGTCATCTACTGACATCTACCGTCATCTAGTGTCATCTAGTGTCATGTAGTGTCATCTAGTGTCATCTACCGTCATCTAGTGTCATATACCGTCATCTACCGTCATCTAGTGAAATCCACCGTCATCTAGTGTCATCTACCGTCATCTAGTGTCATCTACCGTCATCTACTGTCATCTACCGTCATCTACTGTCATC